TATATATGGTATCATCACATAGCAAGTCTGACTTAACCTAGGAATCATCCTATCTTTGCTCCCAATGTGCTGGGATTATGTATGTGTGCTACTATCTCTAGCTATGTATATGTGGTGGTTTGAATTTTGACTTGCCACATAGGCTCATATGATTGAATACTTGGTCCCCAGTTGGTGGAACTATTTGCCAAGGATAAGGAGGTACGTATTTGTTGGAGGAAATGTATGACTTTGAGATTTCAAAAGATTCATAACATTCCCAGTGTTATCTCTGTCTCCTGCTTATGGTTCAAGATGTAAGTTCTCAATGTTCCTATCATCATCTCTTTCCTCTGCCATCATGGAGTCTACTTCTCTGGAAACTTCAGCCTAATTTAATGTTAATGCTTTCTTTTATAAGTTGACTTGGTTACAGTGTTTTATCACAGCAATAGAAAAGTAAATAAACAAAACCACTCCATGGGGGTAGTGGTTCAACTTCACTTGTTCTGGTACTCTGGATGTTGAGTGTTATAACACAGATGACATAGAATTTCAGCTACTGGACTGTAAGTATTGACACTTTCAGAGAAATGCTCTTTTCAGGGTTGATGGCTAGAGCAAAAAGGTTCCAATTCAGACAATAGAATTTAAAATTTTGCTCTGGTAATGCAAATGATCATTGGATAAAAATTCATCCTATGACCCAAAAAAACATTGAATAGCAAAGTATGAAAGGAATTGAGGACAGTTATAGTTGAAAACATACTAGATAATGTCTTATAGTCAGTGAACTATAATAGAGCAAGCAGGGGCTGAAGAAAGAGCTCAGTTGTCAAGAACAATTTCTCTTACAAATGACTCAAGTTCCCCCTACCCCGCCCCAGGGCCCATATTGTAGAGTTTGCAACTCCCTACAACTCCAGGGAATCCAAAGCACTCTTTAGGACTCTACAGGTACCAGCACACATGTGAGTACACACACACACACACACACACACACAAACACAAAAGCATAAGTAAAATTAAATCTTTAAATAATAGAACAAGCTAATCATATCTTGCTCTCTTACTTTTTTTCAGTCCTCTAATGAAATACATAATCCCAGAGATCAAGGTAATGTTTTAGGCAGATAAATCTCACCAGTATGCATATGCATGTATGCAAATATGCACAGAGTCAATAATCAATTATCAAGAGCCCATTTCCATCTTTAGCATGACAAGTATGTTGAATAGTGAACAGTCAGTTACCTACAAGAAAGTCTTTTATTTAAACTGTTATTAATATTAACTAACCAAACAAGTATTGAATTAGCTTAGTTTATTGTCAGAGGATTTAGAAATCTTTTGAACAGATATTATCTTTCTTGAATCCAAGTTGTTTCAGGCATGGTTGTAAATCCCCAGCTCCAATTATTTTCAAATACATATTTCTTGATAAATATCAGCATTCTTCCATTTTCAGTGTGAAGAAACTTGAATATTCTGTTGATAACTGAATTACAGTTGTTAAATTGAAACCTGTAAATGTAAAAGGTATTGGGGAGAAGTTTATGAATGGTATTCTGGGATTACTATTTTAAGTGACATTTCAGTTGTAAACTTGCATTTCTTCACCTGTTTTACCTAAGCCCAATGACCTGAGAATAGTTATAATTCTAAGAAAAGAGATGTAAAATGGCTCAAACAGGGGATATGGAAAAATTCAACATCTTGAGTTGATAATTAAGTAATAAAAATACTTAAATAAAAAGGAACCATGGAGGCTGCAGAGATAGCTAGCTCATCAGTTCAAAGCACATGGTGCTCTTACAGAGGGCTCAATTTCAGTTTCCAGCACACAAACATATACACATAATCATAAAATAGGAATAAATATAAAGAAAAGAATTATGATAAAAATTTGTAAGTAAAGCTAACTTTTTTATTTGCAGAACTTTAATATTAAAATATATTTACATAATCTCTCCTCCATCTTTTCCCTCCAACCTTCTATATAGTGCTCCTTCAAATTATATGCATAAATATATAAATACAGCCTGGCAGGTCTATTTAGTGTTGTTATATGTATATGATTTCAGAGATGACTATTTAATATCAGATAACCTAATAGAGGGTTCATACCTGGGAAAGACTAGTTCTTCTTCAGTCAGAAGTTGTGAATTGCCTATAACTCTGTCTAAGGGAGGGGCTCCATGACAGTCCCTCTTCTATGTTTGCAAGTCTATTGAGTTGTCATTGCTTAAGTAATGTAGGTATCCATTTTGTTGAAATTTCCATGTCATTTCTAGGAGACACAGTCTCACAGCAAGCCTATTCTGTCCTTTGGCCCTTACAGTCTTTCTGTTCCCTGAGCCTTAAGTGTTTAAGGAGTTAAGCCTTAAGGAGTAGTTTGTAGATTCATCCACTGGGGCTAGGCACTCCATAGTCTGTTGTTCTCTGTATTTTTGACCAGTCATAGTTTTCTGTAATGGTCTCTGACTGCTGAAACTTTTAAAGGAATCTTCCTTTCCCCCCTCTCAGGAAAAACTGCAATGAAAGGGAAGATTTGGGGAATAATGGCAAATCACGGACAATATCAGTCTTCTCTTATTTTTCCCTCAATGGCTTTCTTCTACTATGTTGAGAGTTATTTTTTTATTTATTTATTTAATTTTTTAAATTTTTATTTTGCAATACAATTCAGTTCTACATATCAGCCACAGATTCCCTTGTTCTCCCCCCTCCTGCTCCCCTCACCTTCCCCCCAGCCCACCCCCTATTCCCACCTCCTCCAGAGCAAAGCCTTCCCTGAGGACTGAGATCAACCTGGTAGACTCAGTCCAGGTAGGTCCAGTCCCCTCCTCCCAGGCCGAGCCAAGCGATCCTGCATAGGCCCCAGGTTTCAAAGAACCGACTCATGCAATGAGCACAAGACCCGGTCCCACTGCTTGGATGCCTCCCAAACGGATCAAGCCAATCAGCTGTCTCACCCATTCAGAGGGCCTGATCCAGTTGGGGACCCCTCAGCCATTGGTTCATAGTTCATGTGTTTCCATTCGTTTGGCCATTTGTCCCTGTGCTTTATCCAACCTTGGTCTCATCAATTCTCGCTCATATAAACCCTCCTCATTCTCGCTAATTGGACTCCCAGAGATCCACCCGGGGCCTAGCCATGGATCTCTGCATCCAGATCCCTCAGTAGTTGGATGGGGTTTCTAGCACGACAATTAGGGTGTTTGGCCATCCCATCACCAGAGTAGGTCAGTGGATTTCTGTGGGCCTCTCTAGCACTTTGCTTCTTCCTATTCTCATGTGGTTATAATAAATTTTGTAAGTATTTGGCAGCTTTCTGATATGTATTTTAAATAGAAGTGATTGAATTAAGGTAGCATTAGTTGTCCTAAGGTTTTATTTGATAGTTATTGATCACTGGGAGACAACTAGGAAACTGTCATGGAAATTAGAACGAATGTGCTAGACCCTTCTTAGTGGAGCTGGTGGCAGATATGAGAGGTCTTCAGACTGGTAGATGTAACCACACAGACATGAGCAAGGGAAGCAGCTGAGGCTGGACTTCTCTATGTGTATCTTCAGTTTTGGCCTGCTTGAGAGAGGAGCAAAGTCTTCCTAGATTATAGAGAAAGGGGAAATAAGTGGGCTGCAGTTGACTTCAGTGACTTTATTTTCGGAGTTCTTCCCAAGAAGCACTGTAGTACAGCTGAACCCTTTCCAGATACTTCCTCACACAAGTCTCATGACACAATATGGGTGAAACCAAAGTCAATGGGGCAACCTGAGATTCAAGGGACTTCTTGCATTGCAATTTAATATTCAAATGAAATTAAAGTGTTCAATGTAAATGGCAGAGCCATGCTACTTAAACACCAAAAGCCAGCCTGAAAGAAACCAAAAGAATCCAAAATGGAAGGTTACAGGTAGAACTTTAATGACTGCATGATTTGTGGAAAGTACAGTTCACTTCTCTTGGGCTATTTTTATGAAACATTTCTAAGCCTGAAATACCACCTATAACCAAACAGAAAAGCTATATAAGAATTGTTGAGATTTCCTTTCAACAGTTTAGAAGGGGTGATTCAGATAGGCACAGGCATAAGTGGATTGAAGAACATACTTCACTTTTAAAACTGAAAAAAGGAAATAAAAAAACAAGCATAAAATAAGTGAATGCAGGATGCCTTTCTGGAATTTAAAGAGATAAAAGGAGCCTTTACTCTTCATGTGAGGTTGAAAGCATGCTTTATATTAGACATTTTGTTACAAGAGCTAGGTTTTATAGTAGAAGGGACTTGAAACTTACATCAAGAAGAAATGGATGTTAGAGGAGATTTGGAGGTAAGGTAGTATGTGTGTTGATAGAATGATATCTTTATTTTGTCTTTGCTGCTCTTTAGATCAGAGATCATCAATAGTACTTTACTTGGCATTGCTCTTCTGTCACAATCTAGGACATTTAGTTCATCACTAAATATTATCAAAGCTATCCCCAAAATAGATCCTGCTGCTAGATATGGTGGTACCTGCTTTTAATCTAGTACTAAGGAGGCAGAGGTCAGCAAATTTTTACCTATGAGAGCCTAGCCTGATCTACACAGCAAATCTCAGGCCAATCAGAGCTGCATAGTAAGACCCCATCTCAAAAAACAACCAACCAATACTGTAATGTCTTGTCACAGGTAGAGCTGACATTTCAAGCATGGGAGCATCACTTCACACTAAAGTGATGTTGTAACTTCGTAAATGATGCCCACTGTGGTGATATTGTGTTCCCCCAAATATTGTGCACTCTAATACACTTATCTGGGATCGGAGAACAGAACAGCCACTGGATACAGAGGCCAGAAAATGGTGGCACACACACCTTTAATCCTAGCATTCCGAAGACAGAGATCCATTCAGATCTCTGTGAGTTTAGAGCCACACTAGAAACAGCCAGGCATGGTGACTCACACCTTTAATCCCAAGAAGTGATGACAGAAAGCAGAAAGGTATTTAAGGCATGAGGACCAGGAACTAGAGCTGGTTAAGCTTTTAGACTTTTGAGCAACATAATTCAGCTGAGATTCATTCTGGATGAGGACTCAGAGGCTTCCAGTCTGAGGAAACAGGATCAGCAGAGGAACTGGCAAGGTGAGGGGCTGTGGCTTGTTCTGCTTCTCTGATTTTCCAGCATTCCTGGCACCAGGTTTGATTTTATTAATAAGACGTGTTAAGATTCATGCTACAGCCCACTTCTTCCCAGTCAACTTTCTAAAATCTCTCCTAGCAGGCACTATTCTTAGCTTACAATAGTTCCTGTTATTCTTTTTAAAGGGCACAGTTATCGCTCACTATATTCCCACAAGGGCTGTGAATTCTCATTTCTCTTCTTTTTCTTTCTTTCCATTTTTTCCCCTTCCTTTTTTCTTTCCTTTCCTTCCTTTTCTTTACATAACTTTCTCCATTTTTCTTTTTTTATATTCACATTACTCTCACATGTTATATTCAAGTCTTAGTAGATTTCCTAATGTCCATATCCATTGACTATGTCAACTACATTTACACAGTCCATTCACAACAAACTACCTTCTACTGAATGACTAGAAGCAACAAGAATTTATCCTTCTCAATTACAGAGGCTATGCATTTTGTTCACATATGGAGCCTTCCTGTATCTTCACATGATGTTAGTGCTATGGGAACTCTAAAGCTTCTGTGGTGAGGGGACTGTTACCCTTCTTGAGGACTTCACACCCATGACCTAATTGCCTCTCAAGTGTGCTAACTGCTAATACCATCACATCAGTCATTAGACTTCTGAACATAAATTTTGAGAGAAACAAGGAATCAGAACATAGTGATATCTTAACTCAGATCATTCCAAAACCATGAGTAGACACACAGGTCACTGTCCCACATAATCAGGATTTTAACAAACATTAGGTTTTTCAGAGATTCTTTTTTACAGTCACACAAGTCATTCACAATCACCTTCCACTGTCTTTCTTTTGTTTAATGTTTTATATATATATATATATATATATATATATATATATATATATATATGTATATATATATAGTATATAATAGATATGTAGTATATTACATATGATAGATATAGTAAATATCTATTATGTAGTAAATATAATATATATTATTTTGGTTGATTTTTACTATTTTAGTATTCTATAGTGCCATGATAAGGGAAAGGCAAGGATTTTAGTTTGTTTTGTATTAACAAATGCTTGATAATTTTACATTATTCATTTATAGAAATAACTCTGTGGTTAAGAGTATGGATTGAATTTTTTTTTCTTTTACACAGAGAGGTGCATGGTCTTTATTTTTTTTTCATTTTTCTTTATTAAGAAATTTTCTACTCACTCCATATACCACCCACAGATCCCACCTCCTCCTGTCTCCTACCCCCAGCCACCCCACATTCCCACATCCCCCAAATCAAGGTCTCCCATGGGGAGTCCCCAGAGCCTGACACACTGTGCCTAGGCAGGGCAAAACCCCTTCCCACTGCACCAAGGCTGCGCAAAGTGTTGCATCACAGGCACTGGATTCCCAGAAGCCTGCCCATGCACCAGGGACAGATCCCAATCCCCCTACCTGGGTGCCCCCCAAATATTTCGAGCCAAACAACAGTCTTCTGTATCCAGAGGGCCTAGTCCAGTTCCATGGGGGCTCCACAGCCACCAGTCCACAGTTCATGGGCTTCCACTAGTGTGGCCGGTCATGCACATCCACCCATCATGATCTTGACTTCCCCCGCCTGCAGAATCTCTCCTGTCTCTCATCAACTGGATTCCTGGAGCTCAGCCTGGTGCCTGGCCATGGATCTCTGCATCTGCCTCCATCAGTCACTGGACAAAGACTCTATGATGACAGCTAGGTTATTCGCTAGACCAGTCACCAGAGTAGACCAGTCCAGGCACCCTCTGAACCACTGCCAGCAGACCAAGGTGGGATCATCCTTGTGGATTCCTGGGCTGATTTTCTAAAGGACCTGAGTTCAATCCCTGCAGCCATATGGCAACTCACAATCACCCATAACTCCAGTTCCAGATGATCCAACCATACTTTCTGGCCTCTGAGGGCTCTAGGCATGCAGACTGTGCACAGGCCTTATAAACATTCACACACATAAAATAAGAAAATTAAATAAATAATAAATATCAAATGCTAACTATTAATACAAGTATTAGAAAATGAATATTTCTTTTAAATGAGGATGTAAATAATGCACTTTGATTTTTAGCTATTTTGGTCAACTTTATTGAAATATTGTGTTAGCAACTTAGGTTGCTGTAACAGAATGCCTGGCAAGAAGTGATTTATGGGAAGAAAGGTGTATTCAGCCTACGTTTTGAGAAGGTATAGTGTATCTTGTCAGGAAGGTTTGGCAACAGGAGACTTCTTTATGACAGGGGTGTAGCTAGGTTACCTCACTTCATATCTTGGTAGAAAAGGAAGTGAAGAGTCAATACCAAGTAGACTCAGACTATAAAGACTCAAGTCTCTCTCTTTGATTCATTGCTATCAGTGAGGCTCCACCCACTGAAGCCTCCACACTCTCTCAAAACTCCAGCAGCTGAAGATTACTGTTCAGATGCTTGACCTTATCAGGCACATTGGAAACCACAGAAGTACGTACTTATGAAGTGTGCCTTTTATTTTAAGTGAATTTTGACAGTTGTACAGTCTTACAGTATTAATCACAGTCACAATGTTGGACATATTTATAGCCCACAATGCCCTCTTCTCCATCTGAGGTACAATCATTTCCTTTGTGCTTAGATCATGGCAAAAGTTAACAGCCTCCACTACTGTCTTCATTTCTTTAGAATACAAATGTCTTGAATTTTGTGTCTTTTTTCTTATTTACTTGATATTTACAACATGAATCTGCATTATGCTATGAATCAAATATACTTTCCTTTTTATGGATATGGCCATATGCATGTAGCACTTTTAAGATTCTAGTAGTTGATGAACATCTGAAAACTCTCATTTTGCAACTGTTACAAGTACCATTTCCCATCTATGTATGGGTCTTTGTATGGATTTAAGGCACATTTCCTTTATTGGAGGACCACTACTTTCCTATATGAAAACTTTAAAATTAAAGAATCATAATTGTCCTTCAAAAGATTGTAAGAGTTTGTATCTGTACTAAGATTCAGGAAGTGTTAGAGTTTTTGACACTCCTCAAAATTGAGTATTTTAAGCATTTTCATTTCTGTCTCTATTAAGTATTGCAGTACCTCATGATGAGTTTGCATCAGTATTTTTTTAATGAAAGATGGTGTTAAACCTCTTCCTTTTGAAATTCTCATGCATCTATTGTCTTGTGAGAAGTACTGTTCAAACTTCTTGACATGTTAGTAGTTAGAAATATAATTGGCACATAACTTTACATTTTATTGTAAGTTTCTCTGCTTATGGCTTGCATCTGCCTCAGAAATTTCTTTTTTTAAATGTTTTTTAATTTTATAATTAATTTAATTTTACATATCAGCCACAGATTCCCCTGTCCTCCCTCCTCTCACCCAACCCCCGCCCTCCCCCCAATTCACCCCCTATTCCTACCTCCTCCAAGGCAAGGAATCCCCTGGGGATTCAGCTCAGCCTGGTTGATTCAGTTGAGGCAGGTCCAGTCCCCTCCTCCCTTCACCTAGGCTGAGCAAAGTGTCCCAGCATAGGCCCTAGGTTCCAAAAAGCCAGCTCATGCCCTAAGGACAAGTCCTGGTCCCACTGCCTGGGGGCCTCCTAAATAGTTCAAGCTAATCAACTGTCTCACTTATCCAGAGGGACGGATTCAGTTCCATGGAGGTTCCTCAGCTATTGGTTCATAGTTCATGTATTTCCACTAGTTTGGCTATTTGTCCCTGTGCTTTTTCCAATCATGGTCTCAATATCTCTTGCTCATATAATCCATCCTCTCTCTCACCGATTGGACTCCTGGAGCTCCACATGGGGCTTGGCCATGGATCTCTGCATCCGCTTCCATCAGTCATTGGATGAGAGTTCTATCATGACAGTTAGGGTGTTTGACCATCTGATCACCAAAGTAGGTCAGTTCAGGCTTTCTCTCGACCATTGCCAGTAGTCTATTGTGGAGGTATCTTTATGGATTTCTGGGGACCTCTCTAGCCCTTTGCTTCTTCCTATTCCCATGGGATCTTCATTTATCCTGGTATCTCTTTCCTTGTTCTCCCTCTCTGTTCTTGTCTCTTTCCCTCTACCCTTGCCCTTCATTAGCCCCCCTCACATCCAGTTTGCTAGTGTAGAACTCATCCATTTCTCTGTCGATGAGCGATCCCTGTGTCTTTCTTAGGGTCCTCTTTACTAGGTAGCCTCCCTGGAGTTGTGAGTAGCAGTCTAGTCATACTTTGCTTTACATCTAGTATCCACCTATGAGTGAGTACATACCATGTTTGTATTTCTGAGTCTGGGTTAGCTCACTCAGGATGATTTTTTCTAGATCTATCCATTTGCCTGCAAAACTCATGATGTCATTGTTTTTCCTCTATTGAGTAGTACTCTGTTGTGTATATGTACCACATTTTATTTATCCATTCTTAAGTTGAAGGGCATTTAGGTTGTTTCCAGGTTCTGGCTATTACAAACAATGCTGCTATGAACATAGCTGAGCATTTGTCCTTGTGGTATGGATTGAGCATTCCTTGAGTATATGCCCAAGAGTGGTATAGCTGGGTCTTGGGGAAGATTGATTCCCAATTTTCTAAGAAAGCGCAATATTGATTTCCAAAGTGGCCGTACAAGTTTGGATTCCCACCAACAGTGTAGGAGTGTTCCCCTTGCTCAACATCCTCTCCAGCATAAGCTGTTTTCAGTGTTTTTGATCTTAGCCATTCTGACAGGTATAAGGTGGTATCTCAGAGTCATTTTGATTTGCATTTCCCTGATGATTAAGGATGTTGAGCAATTCCTTAAATGTCTTTCAGCCATTTGAGCTCCCTCTGTTGAGAATTCTCTGTTTAGCTCTATAGCTTGTTTCTTAATTGGACTGTTGGACATTTTGATGTCTAATTTCTTAAGTTCCTTATATATTCTGGATATCAGCCCTCTGTCAGATGTGGGGTTGGTGAAGATCTTTTCCCATTCTGTACAATGTTGCT